CCCCAAAACCCCAAAACCCCAAAACCCCAAAACCCCTATAAATTAAGAGCATATTGAAACTTTTGTAAATATTTGAAATACCCCTACTTCTCAGAGATAGTCCTAAATTGTTTGTACATTCAAAAAGAAAATATACAATAAAGATGCCTAAAAAATATCAGATGTTTTTATTCTCTAACTTAACTCTCATTCAATGTTGAATGATTTGGCCACTGACAACATTCCGTAAAATATAATTATTTCCTATTTTCCAGGAAATGTTTCCCGTAGTTAGACGACCCCCTTTCTGTCTCTTAAATTATATATAGGCTAAAATAATACCAAGATTATTATAATTTAAACCTATTATTAAGAGTAAGAAGGATAATGGCTCCTCAAGACATCGTACATATCTCCCAATTATCGTCCATCAAGGCTCTTTGTAACTCCTAATTATCCGAAGTTTGCTCCTTCCCCCTTTAATACCAGCTAGGTTCAATAACTGAAATCTTCTAGAATTTTATACTTTAGTAGAAAATTTTCTATGGATTTGCTCAAAAGAGTAAATCACCTTAAGACTCAGGGATGGACAGCTATAGCTTGCTTCTGGATAATAATGGGATGCATACTATTATTGCTGGATATGAGTAAATGCTGGCAGAAAATGGTTAAAGTTATAGAAATTTAGTTGAAAATAAAGAAAATGATCAAGATTAATGAATCCAAACCACCACTTGTTATGAAGTATTGTTAGTAAGTGATCAATTAGCAGTTAGATAATAAGAAAAGATGAACTCTTCTTTACTTATTTAAGCTGCTCAAATGCTTCTCTAATATTTAGCATGTAAATTTTTGAACTTGTCAAGAAATCATTTATTCTTTTCTCTTTCGGATGCCTGCTTTCAGACTTGGGTGCGATCATGTAGGACATCAGAACCTTTGAAGAGCAAGTGGGTTGTCCATTGGTGCTAGCTATTTTTTTTAAGGCTGTAGACACAGTCATCTTGCGTGGTTTCTTGCCTCAAGTTATCTTCAACCCAGTTTTAACAAAAAGTGGTCATTTAGAACCAAACCTATAAATAAGGATGAGAATTTATTAGAAATATTTGCATAAGGTAAAAAGAATACTTACTTGTTGGCGTCAACTACTCGAGGCTTGCTTGACTCAAGAGTAGGCATTGAGAACAGGAAGTCAGACTCGTCTTTGACAACCTCACTTTTAAACTTCTTTGTTAATCTACCACTATTACTTTCTAGTCAAGACTTTTTGGACATTTTTATTACTTATTAAGTTAGCAGCTTCTTTATGGGGTTTTGGGGTTTTGGGGTTTTGGGGTTTTGGGGTTTTGGGG